AGGAAAGGAAGTCTACTATATGTATTTATTAACTAAACAAGTGTCGGTCAAAATTATTTTCCTAGAGTAAAGTGTGACCGATATACGAGATAGGATGATAATCTCATAATAATGCAGCCTACAAGAGAACAAGTCGAAGAATTTCTAAACCATGCGAAAAAGTGTCACCACTTTCAAATTTCGCGAACTGGAGTTGATTGATTAGGAACTTTCATCTCACAAGGATTCTGAGTGTCATTTAATTCTGGGCTCCTATGTGACCCTACAATGCTTTTTGAAATCGTGGATTAAAATAAATAATCATAAGAAATACTCAACTTAGTTGGATCAGAATGACAAAATTCAGCATTGCATGCAGAGAAATGAACAGCAGTATTAGAAACTGACTGCATGCGTCCAATGCGATCAAATCTAAGGAATTTCGAATAAAAAAATACACACGAATTAAATAAGGGAGACTTGCCACAGAACAAGCATTGACCAAACATATGCCCATCTTCGTGACCTGCATTGAACGAGCTAAGGATTATTAAAGAAGATAGGTGAATTGTAAAGCTCCATGATCCGCAACAATAGTGAATTTTGCCAAATAAATATTTATGAAGTCGTTTAACAGTCCAAAATACAGCTTTTGCTTCTAGTTGTATTTGCTTACAAAAATGTTCAGCAACAGCATGTTTGCGTAAAACTAATCTAACTTTACGCTCCAAAACTGTACGAATACCCAATGATGACGGGCCGTTGGAAAGTACGGAATGTACACTAGGAAAGTAAGTTCCGAGAGCAGAATCGCTTTGAAGAACGTTTAGTAGACTTCGCAGGTAGGATCTATTTAAGTGAGTTACGTGTCAAGACTTGAGACGGACAATTAGCACAACAAGAAGAGTTACGAAAAATAGAGGAATGATATTGAAGTACACTCATTAGAGTATTACATCCCGTGGAGAAGTATGAATGGTAACTTTGAGGACTATTTATGGACCAATGTGATATGCATATTTCCTATTGTATAATTACTAAGTGACTCAACTATTCATATTCATGTTCCTCTTATTATGAGCTTTATTTTGACTTACAGACCACTATTGTACGATTTACCATTCTTGAGTTATCCCTAGTCCATTAATTACTGTTCCCTGTATTCACAACCACATTTGGCCAAATCTTGTACAAATGTTACTTTCTATTTTATTGTACGATGTGGTCACTTTGTTTGGTATACAAACCCAGTATGTTTGAGAATAATAATTCATATTACAGAGACTGTTATTGGTGTTCTGGACTTAACTGGCTGGTCTAGGCAGAAAGCAGGTCTGACAAGTACTCAAGACTGCTCATACAGGTTTTGCGTATCATTGCTGTAATCGATAATATCACTCCTCTCTGATTGGAGGGGATCATCACATCTTCATATATAAACAGGGTACACACTTAATCAATCGATATAACAAAGAGAATGCAATTCTGTAAGGTTCTTCGGAGATGGTGCATTTTTAGGTAGAACCAGTCGCTTTATATCTAATAAGTAGTAGTCTTGACTAATTGCTAAGATCTTTACGGTGCTAGATTCGGTAGCTTCTCTCACCGTCCAATCCGTGAGGCCCAAAATGCTGTATTCAGTCCTCACATTGTATGTATATATATTTCAGGCGTAGGCTAACAAGTTCCATTCGGATCGGGGTGGTGGAGAGAGGAATTCATAAATGAATAACCGTCCACTTTTTTGGGAAAGTACAAAGGTAATTGGTTTGTTCTCATGGCCTTGCTGTGTTCGATAAAATGCTTTTTACTGATCAGTTAAAATGGCGCTTTTGACTTGTGTGAGAACATTACAAGTAAGTGTTATCGAGAGGTAGAAGGTTTTAAAATGCATTTCACGTCCTTGAAAATCAAATGTCACTCACAAATATCTAAGGGTATGATTATCTTTAGGAATAAGTGATCGGTTAACCTGTATTTCGAAATGCGCGCTCATGCAGTTGTGTTGAACAACCGTCAAGGGAAATGTCACCGATATCAAAATTTTCAATTCATCCACTTCCTGTAGTTTGGCGCATTTGACTGTCTATACGTTTGTTTCCTGATCCTGACAAAAAAGCCTGACTTTATTTGATTTTCCAGATTTGGAGGGTGACTTATTAGAAAGTAGAGGAGCCTTTGATTAGGAACGGTGGGGGAATCACTGTACAATACTGGTAAGGAGTACCACTGTAGCTATATTATTGCACCTGTAAAAGGTCAAAATAAAGATGAGAAAAAGCTTTTGCCAGTGAGGGTACGTTTAGATTCACCACACGTAACGGAAGAAACTTCACTCTCAAACCCCGATTACTCACGACAAACCGTGGGCCATAATATACACTGCTAGAAGATCAGCAGAAACACCTGAAGCAACCAGCACGATGGCTCGCAGGTCACTGAGCTAGTAGGTGATAGTCACGATGAAGCTCAAAGGCACGATATACAACAGAGGAGTTGGCCGTCAGTTATCATAGGCCTTCTCACCATCACGATAATTAACATGTCCAGGTTATATCGACTGTTACACCTGTCAAACAATTAGTTTCCATGCCCGATATCTGTGAACATCATGAACTTGAAGGACTTCATCATCTGTGGTACAACTCGAAAAGCGAACCTCCTCTCAGTCAAATTCGAAAAGCACGAAAGGAAAGAGGATATTCGTTCCTGAGATGTCGTCTGAAGCTGATGAATTCGGTTGTGCGCTTTAACCAGATCAACTTTTGACAAAACGGCTTTATTTTTCAAGGTAGCTTCCAGGTCGTGGATATGTGTAAGGAGATAACGGTCCCGATTTGTTTTTCATTAGGTCTCCGATGATCACCAGTCAAACGAAAATCATTGCCGTGTGAAGAAAAATCTCACACGCTCCTTAATGGATGGTTAATTGTTAAATCTGTCACGCGACTGAGTTCGTTTTTCTCTAATATTAGCTTTCTGGGAGATGATCCGGGCGGTATCGGAAATGTAACTGGACCTGTAGACATGCTACGATGTGTAATGATCCCGGTTACATACATTGACTGCGGTCGTGTTTTGTGAAGTTGAAGATACTTGCCAAGTGTCTTTTGGAAGTATGGGTCGATGAAATGCCTAATTATGAACAGGTATAACCTATAACCAGAAAATAAAGCCCCGTAAACATGGTTAAATATATCCATCTACTGGCCTCCGTTTGATTGAGTCGATATATAAGTTATGGCTCTGTAGCAGATCTTTACCAACGCCAGGCACTGATACGCCATCAGCAATAAAAATACAGTGAATGGGTCAGCGTAAACACACGTTAGAGCGAACATACATTTTACTACAGGTGGCTATCACTTTTCCGTTTGTGTACCCATTGATGATCTGGTGTGGATGCATGACTGAGCTCCTTTAGATGCAAAGCCGTCAGTAAAACGAATTAGGTCAGCATCAATGTCTAAGAATCACTCTCTAAAGCGTATGTACAGTCCCATCTCGAAGTCCATAACGTTGTTGCGTTCCTTCCTCTAAAAGAGACAAAAATCTTTTAGACCAAGTGCACAGAAAAGGAACCAAGTGGTTGATAAGTCTAATACACAAATCTTATGAGGACAGACTCCAACGTCTAGCATCAATCTCACTGATCTACGGGGGATGAAGAAGGGATTTGATAGAATCATACAACACATCAAATACATCGAGCCACATTAACATGACCATAATACAACAATATTATCAACGCGTCCTTCGAGGAAAATCTAGAAAGATTGCAAATCGAAGAGTGGACACTCAAGTGCACTCTCGTCTTCGCTTATTAACAGTTGACGAAATTTGGAATGCTCTGCTAGCCGAAGTGATCACAGACCCATCCATCTTAACCTGATTTGTACGTATCAAACGTTTGCTATGTCCTAATGGAACAAAAGTACCATTTGTGACTCAAAGGATTAGTTCTGAACTTAATGTTTGGTAGATTACTTTTCTTTTCGAGTTTTAGGCCAGTTAACAGATAATTGTGGTTTTGCCTCAGCTTACCATACAGTCTTTCTAGTTCTCCACTTTGAGGCTGGTTTTAGTATATCCTTACTTTTTGTACCACTATCTTTTATCCGTTTTGTCTGTTTTGAATGTACAGGGTCAGTGAAACATCACTGAGCCATGTCGAAATCATACGGCAGTTGTGTCACTGACTATCGTGTAAGTCTAACGATAACCAATGCATATCAGTTAATTACACTCCGCGTTCTGACTCATGAGGCGGTGGTCGCACTGTGTCCCTTGTACCTACTCTAACTGATATTTTCTGTAATAACGTCGTCTGTGTTGTGCGGTCATCAAAGCAGCCATAGTACCTGGAAACGGAGAGAGGTTACTTCACATTAGGTATTAACTATGGTGTGTGACTTTGATGTTAGATGTGTCACACTATTCCCGTTTAAATTGAGTATTCCACAATCATCAGACACAGATAGTCTACGTTAGTTATCTACACACGAAACCATTTAGGTGTCTTCAATTCAAACCATGTAAAGAACGCCACAAATCACTGAATATTTACCCGTTAGAGTATAGGCGTCAGCTATATAGCTGTCCAGTGAATTACTGCATCCTAGACACTCCTGATTATCCTCTAAGTGCCTACTAAAGCTCAGTTTCAACACGAACCCCATAGGTAACATCCAGAAATTGGAGACGACGTATCAGTGCGGACTACAGTCACATTATTTACTCTTTGCGAGTAATTTAAGTCCGGAATTTTCTGATGGTTGAGCTAGTCTTGGTGGCTTTTCAGCAGTCCTATAAGAGAAAAACTAACGTATTCTTCAGGACTAGGGACAGTATCCGATTACAATTTACAGATACTCTTCTTTTTATTGTTAAATAAACCTAGGTTCCTGCTTGTCGACATCTGTGATCCACTGCTACTAGATAAGGAAGCCCGTCGGCCAAAAGATTTTTCAGCTTCATCCAGAAACATTTGTCTATTTGAGCTCGTGACAAAATATTGGATACTGGATTTAGTTAGGCGAGCTAGATATAAGTAGTGACCTTGGCTAACGCCTAAATAGATCAAGTTTCGGCAGAGATCCAGAGCTGCATGGTATCATCGTAATACAAAAAAAAATAGAGAAGTGCATTCTGTCTCAATCTGGTATTCGTACTGTGCCCAATTATTCTTACCAGAAAGTATTGATTGATATTAACTATGTAAAGTCGTGTTTAGGACACAGTATTCTAATATATTTCATGTAATATCGATCTAAAGGCTTCAGGATTTTTTTTACAATTTATAACCATGAACAGCTTTTTATACTAGTATTCAGGTACGCGTTAAGTTGATCTTTCTGTTTCAAAGCAAGGAAGGAAACGTTATTTTCTGAAATCTAGGTAAAGTGAAAATACTAAAAACTGGCTAAATGTTCTAATTAAACAAAGTATAAAGATTTTTAAACGTAACAGAACAAAAGGTGGCGCGTTGCCTGTATTGTAGTATAAGAAAGGAGTTTATGTGACTAATAGCTTCACTGTGATAGATCTGACACCTGCTACAAAATGCAGCATAACATCCAGTTTTGTGTTATGCGTGCTGTATACCGGAAGTTTTTGTTTTTGTTTGGTTGTAAAATACCGGACACCAAAATTTAGTGCTTTTTCGTTTTTAACCACGGTTTAGTCTTCTGCAGTTTTTCCATCTTATAATGTTCAATACTGTAGTCAATTCTTGTCGTAGTAAATTCACACGACTTGAGATGCAATATATTTGCTGTACATATTTACTGTTTTCTCTTAAAAAGGAAGTATACATCACAAAACGTTATCGTTTTTTAACCGATTTCATTGATCTAAATCTCATCACACCTATTGCTCATTTACATATAGCTTTTTAGATTTATCTGGCGGCTTCTTGGTGAACTTAAGTTGAATCAGGATGCAAGTTTTGCTACAGGTCGATAATTTAGCTTATAAGAAGGTAGTAAATCATTCATATTTGTTGTCCCACAGTTGCTCAATAGGAAAATATGCAGGTGTATTTGCGTTTCGTTGTGAGCTTTTGAATTCACCCACTATGTCCACTAAGTGTCGACTAAAACCATTACTCGTTAAAACTGACCTAAATTATTGATTTCCGAAGACCTACATCTAATTAACTATTCGGTTTTTCGTAAAATAGGTAAATTTTCTAAACTTGAAATATAGGTAATTAAAACCAGATTATTACATATCAGTGATGTTCGAAATATTTATTAATATTTGTATTGTTTCTTTACAGGTGCTTTTCTTCTGGTTGAGTTTTTATAATGACTGAACGCAAAGTCCTAAATGTAAGTTAGATAAGACTACACTGATGCCTATAAATTATAGAAATATTTCCCTCCAGACTATGATCCTTCAAAAATACCTCGTCTTAGAAGAGGTGACCGGCGTAAACAGTTTAATATTAGAACAATGGCTCCATTTAATATGAGGTGACTTCATTTACAGTGTTGTCATTAGCATCAGGTGCAATACGTGCAATGGTTATATATACAAAGCTAAAAAGTTCAATTCGCGAATGGAAACTGCCGAAAATGTAGATTACTTGGGCCTAAGACATTATCGATTTTACATCCGATGTCCTTTATGCTGTGCTGAGATTATTTGGCGTGTAAGCTCTCTGAGTTTCATTTTTTACATTAATTGTTGTTCATAGACTGATTTAGAAAGTGGCGACTATGTTCTAGAAAGTGGGGCTAAAAGAAACTTCGAAGCATTAAAAACAGCGGAAGAACTAGAAGCTAAACGTCAAGCTGAAGAGGAAGAGGAACTTGCTAATAATCCAATGAAACTATTGGAAAAAAGAACTGATCAAAGCAAACAAGAAATGGAAATGGTCGAAGTAATTGAAGACTTGAAACAGTTAAATCAACGTCAAGCCACCATGGAAGCAGATCATGTTCTTTTGAGGCAAATGTGGCGAGAAGAGGAAGCCCTCAAGGAGGCTGAAAAAGAAGAAGATGATGCACTAATAAAGTAAGCCACCTCCGTACCGTCTAATTTTATTCCCAAAGGGAGTTACTCGCTTCAAAATCCGAGCAAGTCCATTCATTACCATTGGAGTTTGGAGGTGAAAATTCCTCTAGACCAATCAAGATGCCAGGTTCATGACGTTTTATCTAATTGTTAATATTTTTCTAGCTTTGAAAGATTTGATGAAAGCTAATAAAAAGGAACCAGTAGAAGTGAGTATAATACATCTTGATGATTTACAAAAGTTTTCTGCCTAAGTTTCATAACCGTTCCGTTTCGTCGCGGAATCTTACTTTTCACTAGACCTAGTCAATTTACATTGTAAGTTGTCACTAGAAAATATCAGAGCTGCTGTAAATGCTGGCTACTTAAAGTTAGTGCTAAAATGAATTTCGTCTGTTGCGTAGCTTACTGTTTATCAAAAATGTCAATTTTACGTTTGTTGTCGTTCTTGTTGCTCCTTAAATAATCTTCTGATTGTTCAGCTAGCCCAACACCAACACGTAGTTTAGATAATTTTTCTAATCTTTATTGATAAAATGATATTAAGCACATTTATCTGACATCGTAGGTACACAAACTCACATGGTTTGGGTTTGATTTTTCGACCAGATCCATCTTTTCACACTAGTACAGTTCCTTCGTTAATAATTAAATAGATTAAAATTGAACTTTATGAGATTTTGTCATGCATTCAAACCCTAGATACTTATCATCATGTTTATTGATATTTTTTAAACTGAATTTGTGATCAGCATTAGGGCACAAAATTGATTGTCCTTTTAAATCCATTAAAACTGTGTAAAGGACACTATGTGTAAGTATACAATTTCACCAGTTGCTTTGTCATCTTCATTTACATCCTCGCATAATTGTCTCACAATTAATTTATAGTCACACTGTCTCGTTTTAATAATATGTATATAAATGATAGTTGTAACTATTCAATAAATTTCCGGTTAGCTGGCCAGAGATTCTTTCTTTTGATAACTAACCGTTTATTATTCAGGTTTTTTAGTTTTAATATGTAGACGGGATAATTTTAAACCTGCATGTTCAAAGTTTGTTCTAGAGCTTTCAGAATGGTTTGTATCTCGGAAATTGTTTATAACTTTTACAGAATGTGTGATATAAATGTGTAGTAATTATAGTAATGGGAATAATGTGATCAGAAAAGTAAGTGTCAAGTGCATGTTAACATCATGGGGTTTACTTTTTGAAGTTACCTGGAATGTATATCAGACTCATTTAGACTACGACATTAATAACCCAAATAAAATAACCAACATTGGGTTTGCTCTGACCGATCCAAGACCGTGTTAGATAGGGTTTTCTACCATAGATTACGGTTATCGCCGGCGTTCCTACTGGACAGTCTCCACCTCAATACATCTCAAATCAGTAGTGATGTTATGGTCTGGTGCCAATCAATATCTGTAGTATTCATATACCAAGTCTCTCAAATGTAAGTGCACAAACGTACTATTGATTACTGAGTTAAATCAGCTCGTCTTAACTTGTTATTTATCACTTGCTGAGCCTTTTTGACTCAAATGTCACTTGGCCGTATGTGTGCTTATACTTTTATCACGTACAATTTGAGGTAAACTGTATCTTGAAATATACTGGTTTACTTACGCTTACAAAACTGTACAATTCTTATTTACTTCCCTTTAAACCAACTAGATATTGCCAAATGTTTTACTGTACACTGGTCTTTAGCCCTAGATCATACTTTATTCATACGTTGTGATCACAATGAAGTTTAGGAAGCTAGTTTCCCCGACTTGAGTTCGCGTAACAACAGGAAAGATTGTCATACATACCTGTATCTACTATTTAGTCTCTATTTTCTCGACTGTTCATTGCAATACCTAGTCCTCTAATGTTTATAATTTCTGCTTTTTCATAGATTGGGAAATCTTATCTAAAGCGACAACTTCAAGGTGTTTTACGGGTGCAAAAGAGGCCAATATCAGAAACTAAAATTCCAAAACTTGATGGTGATTCTGAAGCATCAGCCATGAATAACATAAATGTTTCAAATTCCTCAACGAATAATTCGTTAGCAAATGATAAGTCAAAAGATAGTAATGTTAATCAACAGGTGTCATGTACCAGTAATGATAACAATAATAGTACTCAATTGTATCAACCATTACCTGGAATGGTTTATTCAGACCATAGTGATAGTGATTGAGAGGGAAAAAACAGACAATTGTAAATAATTGACACACCTATTATCTTGTACAGTTTTAATGATTTTTTAAAAAAACTTTTTTGAAATGCTGTGATGTTTTTTCTCTGGGTTATTTTGAAGTATTTCTATTAATAATTCTAACGATTTCCCTAAAAATAATACTCTTTAGTTGCATACTTGCTACATTATCTAAAGAATAAACCATTTATATTTTAAGAACTGGAGTGGATTAAGTACAGGTTTAGGTGCGTCATTAAGTTCGAAAATGAAAAAAAATTCCATGTGAAATGTTTTGCCGAACGAACCTACAATGTTTAGAAAGGTAAAAACAGTATCACACCTAGAAAGCAATAATAGGTTAGTTATTCCGAATCCTATCCACCTCCATCCAAAATACCTCCTTAAATGTAGTAATTGTAGTTCGTTTATTTAAACACAAAAACGGCACAAAAAAGAACCAAAGCATTTATATGCCACATAAAGTAGTTGTCATTAGTTTCGTGTATGGGCTCGGATATTGTTCAGCTGCGCAAACTGAGACAAGTGATTTTTTTCAGGGACCACTGTCTGAGTCTTTAACCCAAAGGTCTGATCCACAAGTCAGTAAAGCGACGTTCACAGATGCGGTCTCATGGTAGTTGGTGACCGACAGTAGGTTCATACTTCGTTTGTTCCCTCAGGATTCTGAAGCCCACAAGCAATACGGGTTTGTAATTAGGGTTTTCTAACTCCCTTTGGTGGATCATCAGTACCCACCAACATGATTAAAGCGCCGGACATTCGCTTTCCGTCCTCCAGATTACGTAAATGGCAGCTCCATCTCGAGAAGGAAGTGATTAAGACTCCTCTGGTAGTGGCTATATACACGTGGCCATTGAGGACATTTCGAGAGGAGAGAGGGCTCTCTCCACTCCCGGTCGTACCAGGACATTTGGGGGCAGTAATTGTAGAAAGTGACTTGATCCCGAAGTAGATGAGCCCAGCCAGGAGGGAATATGCCTAATCCCTGTGCACAGACAACGGGTACTGCCAACTACAAGTGTTTTCTGAAAACTAAACATTCAAAATAATAACAGGAAAGATATATTAGAGTAGTTGACCTATCAGTCACGTTTTTATGGTTAATAAGGGAATCCAGAATTCCTGTCCATCCTCATACCTCATCAGTTGGATATACTTATATCGTAGAATTTTTTTCTCCAGTGAAACTCAAATTCAGCATTCTTCAACCGTTGAAGTATTAACCACTGAGTTATAATGAGCATATCTTGTTGATATGGGTACCAGTTGTTATTACAATCGTTTACAATTTAGGAATTAAATAATCAGTTTTATTTTCGATTTTTAGACTACCCTTGCATTTATCTTGATATTCAGTTAGCAATTATTGATAAAAGTAAAATTTATGAACTGGAAAAATAAAACTGAACAGAAACACTTATTATTTTCGCTCATTCTGTTGTATTTCATAAAGTAAATAAATATTTAATATTTGTACATATAGTTTTTGTAAGATAAAATAAGCAATCACATTCTGTAGATTTCAGGTATTCAGTTTAACCAAATATTATTTCCGTTTGTTAACATAACATTATTCTTCATCTATTTCATCACCATTCTGATCGTTCATCTAAACGGAAAATTGAGTATAAATATGAAAAATCTTAATATGTATACAAGAGTACAGTATCATCAATCTCACATTAACCATGGTTGTTTTATTTCATACCTCTTCCCTTGAGGTATATGCTGAAAGATCTTTTTCTTACCTTACTTATTCCCATTTCCACTTTCGTGAGTCACCGCGTTCTCATGTGCTTCTCGTGGCGCAGTGGTTTTTCGATTGTAGATTCGAAAAGCTGTCTACGTGCTTCAGTTTGGAGTGAACCAGGTATTAGTAGTAACCCTCATACAAACAATATGACTCAAAGCCGAGTAAATGAGCCTGTATATTGTAAATGAGTAATATCGTGCATGCTTTTTCAGACTTCTGGAATATTCGGCTATTGATATGTATAGTTATTAAATGCTGTCACATATTTGTTTTATCTGGTGTGAAACCGTGTTATTTCCTACCTCAAATAATAGATCTCTTGTTTTGTTAGAATTATATAGGCTTGTAAGTGGATGAAAAGAATCCATGAAATCAGTCGATTTTTTTATTATTCTACTGTAATTGTTGTTCTTACATCACTCAGTTTTGCAATGGGATGAGAATGATATAGATCCATGATTTCAATATAAATAAACATCAAAGTGGTGGCAAGCATTATGTGTTCGTTTTACTCGTCTCTTTTATAGACAATGTTATGAGTTGCCCTGGATTGTCCATCTTAACATTTATTGATTGATGTTGAGTAATTTGTGACCCTGAATTTGCAAAGTATGGGAGCATCACTTATTGTCACCTTATCTTCCGTAAAAAAGTGTTTGATAGATTAAATGATACATTATGAGGAATAATTGCTTAAAGATTAACTGTCGCTCTTAGCATAATTCACTTCATAAATTACACGTTACGTGAATCAGTCATATCAAATAATGTGACAAGTAGTGGATATTTCATAAAAGTATGAAAACTCATGTCTTCAAGTGATGCGATTAGTTTGGTCACAGAACTTTCACTATAAAGTATGCATAAACGTTAGTTTAAACTAATTCAACAAACTCTCACCTCACTATTTGGTTCATCTTTCTCTCCTTCCGCTTGTATTTCACCTTCATCATTCCGGTCATCCTTTTCATTTTGCTCTTCTTCGTCGTCTTCTCCTGGTTCTTTATCCAAAGAAGATTGAATGATATTTTCAGTTTTTCTATCTTCGGTAAGCTCATCACTTAGCTCTTGTTGGTCTGATTGACCTGTTAAAGCAGCACCTGCTTCTTGCATCAATGCCATTTCAGCAGCCATTAGTTCTAATTGCCGATATTCATGGTGTCTTTCTTGAACAACCTAAATGGTAATGAATCGATTTGATAGTGTAATTTATACGGAAATTTACCCTAGTCTTTCTGAAATAGTATGGGTTATTATATTCCTAATTAGTAACTCTATAGTATCATTATCACCGGATGGTCTGAATTTCGTTGGTGAGCACTTCTAAGGAGTTCATGAATTAGGGTAGAGAAGAGATCCATTGCTACATGTTTTCTCTATCGGTGTCAGTTCAAAGAACGTTTAGCAATTCTATTTATCAGAAGGGGGTTTTGTGGAGTTTTTAGTAATTTTATATAGTTAAAATCATGAGTCAATTGATGAGGGATCGTGGATACTCCCTGCCGAGGAGTCCCACAATAGGACGAAACGGCCATCCGGTGCTTCCAGGTTTTCCATGGTGGTCTGGCTTCAATTGACTCATGATTTCAACTATATGAAACTCTATTTATGTGTATTTTTAACCACGGGGGCTTAGTAGCATAGACTCATTTTCGACAAGTTTAACCGTTTTTTAATCAGGAGGATAAATTTATACTGTAAACCATATGGAAAAATTTGAAAAAAAAGTTAATAAGGAAGATCATAAAACTAACTTCTCTAATCATTCCATCTAATAACAGACAAGCATCATTCCATAATTCAAGTTCTTCATCGGTCTCTGCCATAAGCCAAGGTAAAAATCCTTCTTCAATATCTACAAAATCGATACAGATTGATATGCAAAATAATTGTAAATGGTAAAAGATTTATGAATATTTTATCCAGTTTTCATTTATTATATCTGACATGAATACATTCACCATTTAAGCTACATTCACTGATTTTCTAGATGTCTAACTCAGTTTGAATCCTGAAGACAAGTTGGAAGAAAATGGTTCCATGCCATATGTATTACTGGATAAAACATAGTGTATTATTAATAAATTATATATTTGTAATATCCCAATGAGTAGAAAAATTAGATTTTCTACTCATTGGGATATTACAAATATATAATTTATTTATAACAATCTACCCAATGCTCAATTTATTCAACATTATCAAATCAAGTCTTGGTAATGATACCTATAGTGTATTATTAGTATCATATATATTCTTATTATTATTTAGTGAGATATCAAAAACCGAGGAAAACTCAATAGCTGTTGTGTTACAGCTTTAGAAGCTGATCCTCAGTTATAATTTCTCGAGGACGGCTAAGTTATTTCAAGTCCACTTTTTTTTAAATTCGCATATGGAACCAAAATAAGCTCGAAGTTTTTTTCAAAAATAACTAAGCATCTCAGACGATTGAAGAGATCATCGTATGAAATGACGATCTCGTTTCCGATTAACTTTGTTTATCCCATTTATAATTCCCTTAAAATGATTGTTTCTGAAATGAATTTTTCACATAGAAACTTGAAGAAAATTAATAATTCAGAGATACGACTAATTATCTATCAGTCCTACTTGTTAACTGATAGAAAATTTGACACTTTTGAACAGTTTGATTCATTTCTAAAAATGATGAATGTTAGTGACTTAAACTCTGCGATTATTATTTTTTAATTCTCGTTACTCATCTTGTCTTCATTTCTTCTCATCCGATAATTTTTGTGTGCTACCGTGTACTACTTAACATTATCCAGTAATCAATTTGAAGACAACGGATCATATCTATTGTTGTGTAGTACTCTTAGTCATTCTCATAAATTTGTAATAATCATCTTATGTATTATCATAATTTTAACCTATTACCATTTGTAACAGTTGTTTTGAGATTTTCATATGTTCTCATAAGGCTCTGTTTTAGCATCAGGCTTTTCGTATCTTCTGTCCTTCGTTTCTGTTTCGTTTGTTAAGTGTAGACCCAGCTCCAAGCTGTTATTCATATAATCGAAATATATATTTACCTACTTTGCACATTGAAGCGTTAAGCACCTCAGACACTCCATAAATTGAAGTTTGCTACAATTTGCATGTATTTTTCTAATAATGGTACCAGTTTGTGGAAAAAACTTTTTTTGAACTTCGATTTTTCGCGCCTTACTCTATCATGTGGTCTGACATTTCAGTTGAAGTAACAATTATAACTTTAATATTTGGTTTTAGTCTCTGATCAGAATTGCTTTAAGTCCACAAGACAACAAGTGAACATTCGCTTCTGCTCAT